AAAAAATCTATATTTTTACACCACCATAAATAAAGTGCTGAATTGCTGATGTGTGACTGAGGACTGGGCACAATTTGAACTAATATTGGTTTATGCTGTATTTATAAAATTGGAATGATCGAGGACTCTCAAGCAGCTTCCTTTATGGTGATATATTCCGTGTTTCTCAGTATCTTTCATGCCTTTCATTCAGTATCATTCATTCAGATACCCTTCATTCTATGCTCATAGTGTTTGTCCATTCATCAGAGTTAATCAATTTAATTTCTTTTCCTGTACAGTTTCCAGTTCTGGACTTACTCTATTTTTTCCTCTTTATCATTAGTCTTTATTTTCATCATATCTCCCTGCCACTCAGAATCTCTTTTATTCTAACTGTCTCTGAATGTGGCACAATAAGTTTATACATACTTTAATTGATGCCATATCTTCCTTTAATATCTCATACCAATTGTTATGTTAGACACAAGGGTGTGAATGCATCTGACAGAAATGTGAACACATTGCTTCTGTATGCAACAAGTACTGTGGCATTAAACATACCTTTCTAATGCTTTTCACTAAACATTTCCGGTGAGCTTATGCATTAAATGCATAATCTGAAATATGTTTTGACTTCAATTGCGAAGTAAAGAAATACCATATTAAAAATGGTAGTTTTGATCATGGCAACTTGGTTTGAGTTACTTGGTATTAAATACCATGCAAATAACAGATAGTAAATACTGTGTAAGTACTGTGATTCCAGGTATGGACTACGGTGAAAGAGAAACTTAAATAACCTTAAAACTAAATAACCAAGGTACCAAATGTTCCCTTCCAAAGGAGCTTTGACTGCCCTGTCATTGTTAGCAATGAAATGAAACTTTGTTTTTATGGTTTCTGAAATCTTTTCAAAACAGGGATAAGTACACGCTCCACAGTGCAACCGGTGCACACCCAGAGTAGCCCCAGTGCTGTGCCTGCTTTGATCTCCTTAAAAGCAGTTCAGGGTGGTGTTTTACTCCAGCAACCATCTGTATCAATTACCCTGAGGAACAGGAGTTATGAGCATCACTGGTTTTAGGAGCTTCTCTGTAAACAAGAAGTGGTGAGTAATGCTACCCAGGACACACTATGCCTCAGATGAAACACCAAGCAGTCCCTCCCTGCCTGCTCCTTCCTGGATACACTGCTGATTTCCATGTCAAATAATAGTGCCAGAGATCTGTCACTACATATTTCTCTGTGGCAGCTCCATGGCTGTAAAGACAGTAACTATGATATCACTGCATGCTTCCTTCAATACCACTGCACTTATGGTCCAGCAGTATATTCACAGTCCCCTTTACTGGGCATATTCCCAACCTCTTTCTCTGTAGTGTCAGGATGTAGCTTTGGGAAGGGAATAGAGCAATGTGGGAAATGGCTGTGATCTTCCTGCAAAGGGTTGAGTGGGGTGTCATGTGGAACTGAGGTCCAGCAGCAACAGCAAGGGCAAATTAACTGCTGCGAAGAGTGGTTGTGCTCCTGGCTGTGCTCCAGCCCAGTGCCTGACTCCTTAGGGAGCCAATCCAGGTCGCTAACTGGCATGGGAATGACTCATGCTTCTTTTACTGACTGGGTTTTCTGCTCCTTGGTGGATTGAAACTGCTCAGCATAGGATCAGTTTATTGTTAAGGATGAGCACTTGTGAAGTTGGGAGAGGGAGGAACAGCCCTGCCTTATTTCAGCTGTTGTGGCTAAGCCTGTCTCATCCATCTGTACCTTGATTAGAGAGGGAAAAGTCCTGTTACTAATAAGGTTTGGGATGAAAGCTGTGGGGAGAAATCTGCCACTGCTGTAAGTCCACTGATGGGCATATGAATTAGTCTGTTAATTTCTGCTTGTGCTATCACTCCTTTTTGGTGGTAAAACAAGGTTTCACCTTCCCCCTTGGTGGCCAGTAAGTGGCCATGCCATATGTTGGTACCTGAAGATGTTTACCTTAGTCCTGGCTTACCATGCCCAACAGAATTCCAGCACTGCAAGGGTTTAAAGAGGTCCTAAAAAAGCTATTTGACCAAGTCAAGAAGAAGTAAATGTCCTCTCTTGGAGCTGGAAAAATGCATTTATGTAGAAGAGGCTCTTGAAATTCTGACAGTGGGATGTGTTAAAATTCCCCACAAAGGATGCTGGTTATTAGGGACTTCCCTAGTGTTTCTAGACACGATTCATATGTGCAAAACTTTCAAAAACTCTTTCTTTCTCTCCTTTTCTTTGTTTCATTAAGAGAAAAACATCTGAATCGAGAGATGCAGCGGAAATTCACTTTCCCCCCGCTCTTTCTTTCTTCTCTAATTCATAAATTGGTAGAAACAAGCTGGGTCTATAGTGATTCCCATACTTATGCCAGGCTGGTGCTTCTTCAAGTTGATTCAGTTTGAGTAGATAACAAGAAGGTCAACAGAGAGCTGCTACCTGGCTCCTGGAGCAGCCCCTTTTGCAGTAAGGGAGAAGATGGATTGCAACTCATCAGTAATAAATTGATAAATTAATTGTAACTCTAAGTAGCTCAATAATTGCAACTTACTGAATACTGCTAGCTACTAAAAGTCACAATAACCATGTTTTTGACTCTGGAAAAATAATAACACTAAAAAAATTCTGAAATTCTGTCTGTGTTTTATACCTCTCAGCTGTAATTACACTTTGGAATGCACTGCTTGGTATTCCCTTATTATTCACTTACTGCCAGCACTTGTTGCTCTGCACTTCTATTTTGTTTTTTGGCTGAGGGCATAAATTGACCAACATGACATTGATTTCTGAAAGATTAATTGAAAGTTATCTCCTATCAGCAAAAGAGTAGTGTAAATTGGAAAAATTAAGGAATTTTAACAAAAAATGGCTTGAGATGGGGGAATCTTAACTTAGAGTGACATGAACACTAGCAGCTAGAAGAGGAAGAAGAGTGTGGATTCTTTAGATACACAAAATTGTATTAATAAGTTTAAACATATAAGGAGAAAATTTATATTTGTCTTTTGACAAATACCAACACAGAGAAATTGAGTATTTGCTTTTCTTTCAAATCAAAATATCTGCTAATATTACTGTAATTTTGTTGTTCTCAGAAGTTTTCTTCCTCCTCTCTTCTGTTCCAATGAGGTCTTTCCATGCCATGAGTTACAACAAACAACAAATTATCTTATTTGGACTGAATTCTTCTCAAGAACTACCAGCATGATGCTAAATTTAAGGAAGCAGGGGGAACTTGAACTTTCATTCTGAACAGGTGACAATTTTCTGAGAATGCTGATGACATTTACTTGGAGAAAACCTTCCTAGTGCCACCTGGCATGCACTCTTTCCACTCCGGGGACATCTGTTGTGACAGTACCTTACTAGATCATGGAGAAAAACAAAGAGGCATTTCTCCAAAAACAGTTTGTACATTATAGCATGCAGAGTTTATGCTCTTTAGCCAAATTTTAAAACAGCTTGAACTCTTTGGAGTATGTTAAAGGTACATGAAACAGTGGCTTACTCTTCTTCTCTTCCCACTATTAAAATTTCAAAATTGTAGCTGATTTTCCTTGTGGGCAGCTCCACCACAAAGTGGATCACTCCTTGCCACCTAACACTGACTGCTTTCCATGTGCCAAAGGGCTCTGCACACACCTATCAGTGAATACTGGATGTGCACTGTGTGAGCAACTGGCTCTGTTTTCAGTGGGTAAAGCTGTTAGTTGGTCTTGACTTGTAAAGTAGAAGGATGTGCTATGAAACCTTTAGAAAGTCAGTCAGGGGTTTGCCTGATTATCTCTGTGTTTTCAAAGTGACCTAAAAAAGGATTTGAGTAGGTTTTGGTGCTTTCCAATTCTGAAAATTGCTACAGAATTTGGTCAAGTTTTATCTTCTTTTCTCCTTTTTCTTTTATTTTTCTTTCTTTCTTTTTTTCTTTTTTTTTTTT